CTCAATTTGGATTTATGCCGAGCAGGTCTACTATGGAAGCTATACATTTGTTGAGAGGTTTGATAGAGAAGTTTAGAGATAATAAGGAGGATCTACTTTTGATTTTTATTGATTTTGAAATAGTTTACGATAAGGTTCCAAGAGATATCCTTTGGAGAGTTCTTGAGAAGAAAGGTGTTTATATGACTGATATTCAAGTCATTAAAGAAATGTATGCTAAAGCTTTTACTTGTGTTCAAACTGAAGGAGGATTGACCAAATATTCTCTTATTTCTGTTTGATTACATTAGGGATCAACTTTAAGCCCATATTCTTTTGCTTTAGTTATGGATGGTCTTGTTGGACATTTACAGAGGGATGTACCTTGATGTATGTTTTTTGCTGATGATATCCTTCTCGTGGATAATACGAGAGAAAAAGCTCAGGAAAAACTTGAATTTTGGAGCTCTACATTGGAGTTTAAAGGCCTTCATTTGAGTAGAACAAAAACTGAATACATGGAATGTAATTTTAGCAGTAGTAGTTCTAGTGATAGAAGTGTAGCTTTGGGTGATCAAAATATAAAAAAGTGTGGACGATTTAGATATCTCGGGTACGTCTCTGGTACGTTGTTCAAAGTGATGGTGATATAGATGGGGATGTTAGTAGTAGAATTCAAGTCGGTTGGTTGACATGGAGGAATGAATCAGGCCTTTTGTGTGATAGAAAAGTACCGCTAGTACCGCTTAGACTAGAGTACCGCTTAGACTAGAAGGAAAATTTTATAAGAGGGTGGTGAGACTTGCAATGTAAGTTGGCCTTTAAAAAGGAAGCATAATACTAAGTTAAGTGTTGCCGAGATGAGAATGATTAGGTGGATGTGTGGCTATATACTTAGAGACAAAATGCGAAATGCTTATATAGGTGGATGTGTGGCTATATACTTAGAGACAAAATGTGAAATGCTTATATTAGGGTTGGTGCAGCTCCAGTGGTGGACAAAATTAGAGAAAGTCATCTTTAGATGGTTTGGTCACATTAAACGTCGACCATCTGATGATCCGATTGAAAGAATAGATGTTTTAGACTTGACTTAAGTTAAGAAAGGCAGAGGTAAAGCTAGGAAGACTTGGGCATATTGTATAAAAAATGGTCTTAATTTATTATAACTTAATGAAAATATGACATTAAATAGGACGCAATGGAGAAAAATGATTCATGTAGCCGACCCCACATTGAAAGATTAAGGCTTTGTTGTTGTTATTGTATTAGTTATTTTTGTGGGGTATAGGGCTAATATGTTTAGGGCTAGGGGTTGCATGTGATTGTGACATTGACTCTTATTTTTAGGGTTTGAGAGAGATTGCTTACCTCTCGTATTGTAGGTGTTGGGAGAGACTGACTAGCATTGACTCTTATTTTTAGGGTTTGAGAGAGATTGGTTACCTCTCGTATTGTAGATGTTGGGAGAGATTGACTACTTGACTAATCAAATTGTAGTTGCTTATCTTTATGTAATTGGGTTGTGTTGTTTTGTTAGCCAAAAAATGTACTTTGCCCAAATTTCTACGGACTTTCGTATCAAATTGGCATCGGAGCATTCAAATCTGGGAAGCCAACATCGTAATCGCGACATACATGCTGATGGATTGGAATTGTGGCCTACAAAGTTTTTGGTTTCTCAAATTGTAGGTGCTTTGCATACGGGATTGAGGTCTACAAAATCTTGATTTATATTTTAACAAGAATTAAATGTTTTATAATTGAAGTTTTCATTTAATGAAGATAATAAAATGTAAATCCTCAACTTACCTATTTATCTCCCCTTTTGCACAATAAACCGTGATCTCCCTTGTTTTTAAATTCAATTGCTTGTCAAATTTTAATGAATAGTGTTAAAACATAAATTTTATTTAATAACATTTGCATTAAATTAACCAATTAATTTATATAAATAAAACATAAAATTCATAACACTAACCTCCTTAAAGGATCGGCTCAATTTTCTTACAACCGATGGGTTCCCCCACTTCTCTAGCACACAAAGCAATCTGGTCCCCCTTTCTTCCCTCGACACAAACATCCACATGGTGAAAAGCACACCCAACTTCGGACACTTAATTCACAACCACCAAATGTCAAAGTCTTACCACACTTCTTCCTCTCTTCTTTTGTATTTAGAGATTCTTCTGCACCAAACACCTGGTGTTCGATCATCTCTTCTCACATGCTTCTTCTGTACTTGCTTGGACAAACAGACAACTGTGCACGCATGGTGCTTCGACTTGCATCCAAAACCCCCTTTTTGCATGCACATAGTGCTTTGCCTTGTCCCGCTTGAGGTCGCAAGTTTTATCGCACACGAGGATCCCTTTGCCTTCCTTCCTTGCACACAACAGTTCCATTCTCGGCTGCCTTTCCTAGCATGACATCTTTTGTGCACGCGCTGAAGCCTCCCCCCACACAAGCATTGTCGTCTTTCATTCCTTCTTTTTCTCCCAACCCTCACTCTCTTGTTCTTTTTGATTCTTTGTTTTCTTTTGTCGAAAATGAAATACATGCCTTTTTATTTAACTCCTAAAGCGTAGCCGCCAAGACGGTTGTTTGCTCGAACTGATCTTACCAATTAAAATTCTTCTTATTTATTTTTTTTACTATTTTTCAGCTATTACAATGAGTTTACTATTTACATTGATTATGAGGCATTTGGATTCCTAAGTAATTGGAGCTAGTTGAATTTTTGCCTCTTAGGTGGAGTTTCTATCTTAATTCAAGTTTGTGCTTAAGCACAAAGCCTGTGTTTAGAACTAGATAATTGATGCTTTGTGCCATTGTCATTTGTTGATCACTCTTATGCAGTCTAAAGTAGTTGTCTTTGAAGTTTTGAATGATTGTATGCCATCAACGAAAACTTCTAGAAGAGTTGGACTCATTGCCTATATAAACCGTATGAGCATTGTTATTGATTCAATGGTTATCTATTTTATTATAAATAGTTGTGCATTCCCATGAGCTTGCTTAGGGAGCCTATTTTAGTATCACAATTGGGGAATGACCAAACATTTTAGAATGTATAAGACAATTTCTATATTGGAAGAGAATTTCTTTTGATTTAGACTGCTATAAGATATGGAGCGATGTTGGATAATAGATAATTTGTCATTTAGCTAAGAACAATGGAAAAAATATGGGTCTTTATTGGCCACTTATTCTTTCAAAGCGGTCTTGGGTGGATGTGAGTGTGTATTTTGTGGTGGGTTTGCCTTAGACACCGCGCAGCAATGACTGTGTTTTGATAGTAGTAGATTACTTACTCTATGATAACACATTGTATACCTTGCCACATTTGAATGGATGCTTCAAATATTGCAGATTTATACTTCAGGGAGATAATCTGTCATAATGGCATGTCTAGCGCTATCAACTCAGGCATGGATGTGAAGTTCTGAGTCACTTTAGAGGATTTAATGGGACAAGTTGGATTATGGGTACAAAACTCTAGTTCAATTCAACAAAACATTCAGTAGATGGATAGTTAGAGGTGGTGAATCACAGTTTGTGAAATTTCTTTAGCTGAATTGTGAGAAAAACATATCAAGCAGCGGGATTTGATTCTTTTTTAGGATTAGTTTGCTTACAACATATCTACTAGTCAATTCACAAGTCATTGTCCCGCCCTTTATAGATTGTATACCAATGAACTCTTCTCACACCTTTTAAGTTATTGCATATTTTTTTAACTGCTGAGATTAGTACCTAGACAAGCCAGAGATACAAGTTTTCTATCTAAGTAGGCGAGGAAGGAATGACCTAGCAAAATACCATGTTTTAGAACTAGGTTAAGAAGTCCACCATAGAAGAAAAATACCATGTTTTAGAACTAGGTTAAGAAGTCCATAGAAGTGTTGGTCTTCACCAAACGTGCATTGTTTGGATTTGACTGATGAACACTTGTAGGGTCGTTTGGAAAGCTCAAGGCTATAGTGAACGCTCCATTCAAGATTATTAGAAAGATCAATGACAATGCATACATGATTGATATGTCAGGAGTTTACAATATTTTTGCTACATTTACATCATTGAGAGCTAGAAGTTTTCTGAGAGGAAGGTAATGCCTCTCCTATCCAGGGAGAGTGACACAGAAGCTATAACGGGTGATTTTCTACTTGTTGAATTGCGGCAGGCTTGATGGGTCATATTTTATGTTATTTTAATTTATAATTGGAGTTTAAATTCATGTCCTAGTATAAGTATGTTATTTTACTGTGTTGGACACTTTCTATTTTGGTGGTTGTTATCTAGAGATTATTTTCTCTATTTTCTCCAATTTGGAGAGCTTTTACCTTTTATCAAGTAGTGGAGCTGTATCTCGAAGAGAATAGGTGTTAGATCCTCTCCGTCATCCATATCTCGCCGAAACTGCTACCATGTAGTATTTCCTTGCTGTCTTTCTTGTCTGACAGCAGTATAGTAACTATTTTCCTCAAATCCTCATCGTTTCTCACATTTTTTTTCCTTACTAATCTGAAAGAATTTCCAACACTTATTTCTATTCCCATATACTTTCTAGGAATCCTATAATAGTGATTGTGTTATACATAATTCTCAATTGATTTAGCTGTGGGTTTGAATCTTAAAAATACATCTTTATGGAACACTTAACTGTACCTTATAGTTTTAGATCTTCCAGCTCTACCGGATTCTCTGTCTTTGGAAGCATCCAGATTATTGCTGGTAGCTTTAAGTGCTGATGAAGCCATCCTACTGGTTGCTCTTTTTTTTTTTTCTATTGATTTTGTGGTAAGGGTGACACCTTTTGAACACTTACAGACAACTCTCCCATCTTGTCACTTTAGAAAGTATAGTCTAATTTTTAGCTTTCCATTTGAAGTTCCTTAAGATGTGATTCCTTTGTTCTTATTTTGACATGCTTATTTCTGATATTCTATTGCTAAAGTTCATTTCTTTCAAACTTCAACTCCTCTGATAGATAATATTGTAGACACTGCTTGTTTTTTCAGGGATTGACTATCATAGCCTTTAATAAAGGGAGACTAAATTTGAAGACTGGGAAACAGCTACTTAGTTTTGGTCCTACATATGTTGTAATGAAGTTCATAGAAAGTATACTTTTGTGCTCTATTTTTTTATTTTTTAATTTTGAATTTTTGATAGTTACCATTCTTTTGTTTTGAGAACAAATTTGCGTACCTCATAAAGATGTTTAATACTAACCTTTTTGCATGAAACACTATATAGGTGTTCTTGACATTCTTATGATGTATGGTGCATACTCTACTTCTCGTAGTTCAGCAGTATCCCGCATCATCTGTCGCTTTCTTTGGTTCACATTTGTTTCACTTCTTATAAGCTACCTTTTTGTGTGAGTTATTCTTTCTTCTTTTGGTTGGGGCTCAAATGTTTTTTCCTAGTTATGGTTATTTATCACGCCTACTCATACGCTTTAATTGTGCACACAGTAAGGCACTCCAGGATGGGTGGGATTCTATGTACTTCAAGATATATGTCCTTGTGATTGGCATATATGCTGTTTTCAGAGTTTTCCTGAGTTTGTTCATGCGCATCCCATCTTGTCACAGACTTATGCTACCATGTGACCAATGGTCTCTAGTACGTCTTCTTAGGTGGCTCAACCAGGTTGGTGTTTTTCTTTTTCACCATCATCCGTGTAAAGTTACATCAATTATAATTAGTAATCTGCTTTTTTCTTTTGTGAAGGAGCACAATTTTGTTGGTCGTGGTATGTATGAAAGGGCAACAGACTATATTAAGTAAGATTCTTAAACTTCAGTATAAATTTTTTAGAATTTGGGTGGGTGAGTGTTTTTTCAATCATTTATATTTCTGTTTATTTTTGTGTGGTCGTGTGTTTTGTGATATTTGAGTATAAGTGAATGCTTATGGTTTTGTTAATGGTCGACTAGTTCCTTTTTTAAAATTTTATTTCTTTCTTAAGCAAATTTATTTTTATTTTTCCTCCTAAAGAATTGCCATATTACTATAATTAATAGTTATTTATATAAATATTTAAAAATTTTTTAATTTACAACTGTTCTAATATCAGATTCGCATCTCCTTCTCATGCTAAGTGGAAAATGTCAAATACTTTGCTAGATGATAATAATTCCATGAACAATATATTAAACAATTAATCAGTATTAGGAAGAATAATTTAGGCTTTACTATTTTAATTAAGAGATTAATCATATAAAATAAGATAGATATTTATATATATGCTTATATTTTTAAAAAATGATTGGAGAAGTAAATAAAATTTAAAATGTTGAAAAAAATCTGGATTAAATTTCTGTTAATATTTTATTTTACTTTTTATAATTTATGCTTATATTTTTAAAAAATGATTGGAGAAGTAAAGAAAATTTAAAATGTTGAAAAGAATCTGGATTAAATTTCTGTTAATATTTTATTTTGCTTTTTATAAAATAATTTTTTTTTTTTAGCACAAATCAATTTTAAGGATGCTGGCTGAGTTTAAGTGTCACTCAATTTTATTTCCCACATGTTATAGGAAATGTTAAAGGCACTAAAAACACAAGGATTATGGGTGTTATCACTTTGAGGTAGAGAGTGTGATTTAAATGTTTTTAAAGACAGTTGAGATTATTTTAGCTTATCAGTTTCTTCCGCATCAACACCTATGTATTATGTGAAATGAGTCTATGCTTGATTGACTTTTTTCCCGCCACAGCTTTGATTTTCATGGAGTTACCAACTGTTATTTTTACAATCATAGGCTGCTTTTGTGATTGAATTTTATCCCCGTTTTGTTTGGTTCAGTGGCAATCAGTTCTCTACGATATTCCATGGTTGACATAGCTGATTCTTCTATGATTGGCGTTATGCATATTACTATACTTTTCCTCATTTAGCTTGTACAAGGGAGAAGGTTTCGTATGAGAGAATGTGACTTCTTTCCCCAATAGTGGGACCGAACTTGGCCAAATTTAATAGAGAGCAGCAAGAAACTCGATTTATCTTTTTGTTTTTTTGCATAATGTTTGAGGAAAACAACATTATTTTTGTGTTTCATTTCGAGATCTTGATAGTAATCCTAGTCTAACTGAAAAATCTCTCATTTAGTTGAAGTATTTGATGACAAATAAGTCATCTTGTTCAGTGTTTGCTAGTTTTGCTCTTATGTCATTGATGTGAGCTGCATTTTTGACTTTGGTGTATCTTTCTTATGGCTTTCTTTTACTTAGTTTGCCATTGTGAGAAATATGTCAAGTTTATTGGCTTCGAGCTTCATTGAGTTTCATCATTGTGATTAATCATGTCGATCTCCCAAAATCTGAACTTTGGGTCTTGAAGAGTTGGAGGTGGATCAACTAGGTGATTAGGTTTCCTTTTCTTTTTCTTTTCAAGGTCTTCACTTTATAGGGCTACATTAGAAAGTTCTTTCATTCAGTTGATAGGAGGTTTGTAAACTTTGGAACTTTTCTTTGATTGGATTGGTAAGGTTTTCAAGATTCATGGTTGTTGACTCTGTTGAAGAATGTCAGAACCCTCAGACATCAAAGAAGAAAGTTAATAAGAATTAGGAAAATAAACATAAAGCAGGTTGCAAGTTTGGACCCTAACCCATATTTGATACCATGTAAAAACTAGGAGAATTATTAAAAGTTTTGTTTCTTCGTCATATATTCAAGGGATATTCATACATGTTATTTTCTAAATTATTTTATGAATCCATATAATTATTGGGAATATTAGGGTCTTTTTGGGGCAGCTGTAGCTTATCCAGTTTATCCAGCTTATCCTGATAATCTGGTAATAAACAGCTGATCCGGATAAGCTGTCTATCCGTTTGGTTAGTGCGTTTTGCGAACAGCTGATTCTGGATAAATGATTAATCTGCTATTGTTATGGATAATCTATTTAGCTGTTTAGTTCGTGCATTTTGTAAACAACTTATTTGCAAATTTTTTTACAAATTTACTAACATTTTTAATGCAATCATAAAGGGGAGATAAATCTAAAGATTGAAGAACATGAAAATACAAAATATTCTAAATATTAAATTTGAAATGTTAAGACATGAAAATACAAATTATTTATATCACTTAAACATTTCATACCACATCACAGAAATACAGTTACTAAACAAAAGTGAAATACAACTTAACACACTAATATGCACTTTAATTATACTAAAACAAGAAAAAAATATAATATGTTAAAATTACAAAGAAAAAAATTATAATGTTGACCTTAAAATGTAGCTGCATATCACGGGCTATGCTGCCCGACTTTGACACGCTAGAACCCAGAGCAAACTAGTCTGACTGGGATACCGTAGAAATGGAAGCACTAGAACCAAGAGCGGTGTTCTGAAATTGTGATACCGACAAACTCCGAGCAGCGGTGTCCAGTTGGGATTTCATCGAAAGAGGCGTACTGTCGGCCCACCTGAAGAAGTTGCAGTACTCCTATCATTATGTCCACCGCGGGTACCTGTAAAATTGCCTTCCGTAGCTATGTGGCTGACGTGACATGAGTAGCAATGTCGGTAGTCTGCACCGGCACATCACTTGCCCGAACTTCCCTGAGTATCTGGAATTCTTCGTCTTGCAGTTAATAAAAAGAGAATAGATCAGTAAAAAAATTTGAAAAAATTTGATGAATATGCTAAAAAATTTGATGAATATGCTGAAAATATACTTACCGAAGTATGGAGAAACCAACCAATTTTAATATTATGAGAAGCCAGCACAACACAACTGCAACTCATTATATTATAATGAAACCCAACAAGCTCCATCCCAGATGTAAGGACCCAACAGGCTCCGTCCCATGTATTATAATGAGACCCAACAGGCTCCATTCCAGTTCATAAAGCTAATTAGAACTTGTATTGTGATATCAAATTATATTGTGATATCAAAGATATATTATTCCAGAGGTGGCCACACCCCTCACCAACAAGTAATGGCTAAAATAAATGCATATCTAATATAAATTTCTATTTAAAGCCAATTAATCAGAATATAAATTTCCAGAGGTGGCCACACCCCTCACCAAAAATAATAAAACATCACCCGGAACATAACATAAAGCCTCTTCAGTTTATATCCAACCCAATTGTGAAATGAATTAAATTTACCATATGTTCAGTCACCACAATAAAGACTCCTTATTGCTTTCTGCTCCAAAAGGAAAAAAATAGAAGAGTGTATGCTTACAAAACTAAATGACAGTATGCTTAATATAAATGCTACTTTCAGCCAAATGAGCAAAATGGGGTGTCCAACTATCAGTTACATGCTCAGAAATTAATACGTGGAGCCGAAATTCACACTTGCATCCAATAAGAAGGTAAATCTATAAAAATGAAGTGAAAAATTCTCTAACACGCAAAACAATGCCGCTACATCAAGGTAGAACTGCAGGAGCCAACCATCTCAACACGATTGGAGTTGCTGACCCCATTTCCTTGGAGATCAATCCAACTTTCAACGGACAATGTTAGCATTCGATATATTCATCCATTTCAACTATCCAACTTGAATATTGCTAATAATTCGAATGAAGATAAAGTAGCAGGTAACAGGTTATAGCAAAGCAAATTCATAAATCCATATATCAAAACAATATTTGCATTTTCACGGGAACAGGTTATAGCAGCAGGTAAATTTCTTCCAATCCATGAAAAACAAACAAACAACTAACAACAACGTGAAGAACCGCATGTGGTCGGGATGCTTCGATAAAAAAAGGAAGGAGCAGGTTATTCGAACCTCCATAGCTATAGAAGAATGCAAAATACGAAGGCAACACTTCTCAAACTACTAAATTATGGAAGCAATGATTGCCAAGAATAAATTTCCGAAGCCGTCCAAATTGCTCCACACGTGGTAGTTTTTAATAAGCCTTCATTTCTGCAATTCAAAACTGCTCATAACTGCAATTCATAACTGTAGCTCATTCATTTATGCAGTTCATTCATTTGGAATACTCTTTTTGCAATTCATTTCTGCAGCAATTCATAACCACCCCATACACTCGATAATAACAAAATGAAATTCATAATTGCAGCTCATTCATTTCCACATAAGAGAACTATAAGCAGCATGGCCATCAGGCATATATAAAAAATTCACGAATACGCAAGCATGGCCATCAACCATCTAATACAGAATCCACTAATACAGAAATTCACAACTACAGAATTGATCTATATGGCCATGGTGCACCCCATTCAGAAAATGTATTTGTAACAACTCCCTAACTCTACAACTCTACAACCATTCAAATATAATAGAATCCAAAAAATAGTGAGACACGCCAATCAAATATAATAGAATCCACAAAAAAAAATCCATATGCCTCATCCTCAACTGAACAATGATAGAGTCGAGAATGCGGAAATAATTGAATTAATGTGTTGCAAGTGTATCTCCATCTGATAATGTAAATAATGTAAACAAAGAAGCTATAAACCTGGAAAACAAAGCCACAAAATTGCTCCCAAGAAAGATACAACAAGACGTCTCCAGTTTCAACAGCTAAAGGGAACTTTTCATAACATAAATCCGCATAACCTAGTGCATCATAAAAGATAATACTGGGCCAAAAAATAAATTTATCAAAATATTGTGTTGCTCCCACCAAAGTCCACTGATGCAAAAGGATAACAAAAAACATCTTCTATCAAATACAATAAATCACCCAATGTTATACTGCACCACCATCATAAATTTCACCTCATTGAAACTAGTAAGTGCAGCGGATGCGGAAATAAATGACTAAC